TGTGGAGTGTGGAATAAGTTGCAAAGTTTTGTGGAAAAATACCACCCTGAGGAAGATGCCATCTCTGCAACATGTTCAGTGACAAAACAATGTCCCATTTTAGGCAAATCTTAGAGACGCCAGAAACAGAACACTTGAAAGTTATTTTGTGTGACGGGTGCAGTGACCCAAGCTGGTCCTAGTGGCAGTAAAAGACAAAGAAGGGAAGTAACCCCAGATAAGGACTTGTTACCTAAAGTCTTTATGGAAGGGGATAACCCTTCCTCTCTCCTCCTCCCTATCTTCCAGATACCAGCAAGACTCTTCAATAACAGTATGTAAATGTGATTTTAAATGTTTAATTACATGTTTATGTATTGTATTACTCATTTAAGTACAGTGGACCCCCGCATAGCGATATTAATCCGTGCAAGAGAGCTCATTGTTATGCGAAATTATCGTTATGCGAATGAATTTTCCCCATAAGAAATAATGGAAATCAAATTAATCTGTGCAAGACACCCCAAAGTATGAAAAAAAAAATTTTTACCACATGAAATATTAATTTTAATACACACAAACTGAAAAAGGCATGCACAATTACATGACACTTACTTTTATTGAAGATCTGGTGATGATTGATGGGATGGGAGGAGGAGAGTGTGTTAGTGTTTAGAAGGGGAATCCCCTTCCATTAAGACTTGAGGTGTCAAGTCCTTTTCTGGGGTTACTTCCCTTCTTCTTTTAATGCCACTAGGACCAGCTTCAGAGTCACTGGAGTTCTGTCGCACAACATATCAGTCCATAGTGGCCTGTACCTCTCGTTCCTTTATGACTTCCCTAAAGTGTTTCACAACATTGCCAGTGTAATAGTCACCAGCACGGCTTGCAATAGCTGTGTGAGGGTGATTTTCATCCATGAAGGTTTGCACTTCAAGCCACTTTGCACAGATTTCCTTAATCTTTGTAGTAGGCAATTTCTTCAATTTCTCTCTCCCCTCCTTCGAACCAGTTTCCTCAGGTCTGGCCTCTTGCTGTTGAAGTTGATCTATCAGCTCATCAGTGGTTAGTTCTTCATTGTCCTCCTCCACCAACTCTTCCACATCATCCCCACTAACCTCCAACCCCAAGGACTTTCCCAATGCCATAATGGATTCCTCAACTGGCATAGGATTCTCAGGGTTAGCCTGAAACCCTTCAAAATCCCTTTGGTCTACACATTCTGGCCACAGTTTCTTCCAAGCAGAGTTCAAGGTCCTCTTAGTCACTCCCTCCAAAGCCTTACCTATAAGGTTTACACAATTGAGGATATTAAAGTGATCTCTCCAAAACTCTCTTAGAGTCAGTTGAGTTTCTGAGGTCACTACAAAGCACCTTTCAAACAGAGCTTTTGTGTACAGTTTTTTGAAGTTTGCAATAACCTGTTGGTCCATGGGCTGCAGGAGAGGAGTGGTATTAGGAGGCAAAAACTTCACCTTAATGAATTTCATGTCCCCATAAAGTCGCTCTGCCACGTCTGTAGGATGACCAGGGGCATTGTCTAACACCAGGAGGCACTTAAGTTCTAATTTCTTTTCAGTTAGGTAATCTTTCACATTGGGGGCAAATGCATGGTGTAACCAGTCATAGAAAAAGTCCTAGTGACCCATGCCTTACTGTTTGCCCTCCACAGCACACACAAATTTTCCTTGAGGACATTCTTTTGCCTGAACGGTCTGGGAGTTTCAGAGTGATACACTAATAAAGGCTTCACTTTGCAATCACCAGTAGCATTGGAACACATCAACAGAGTAAGCCTGTCTTTCATAGGCTTATGTCCTGGGAGTGCCTTTTCCTCCTGAGTAATGTAGGTCCTGCTTGGCATTTTCTTCCAAAACAGGCCTGTTTCATCACAATTAAACACTTGTTCAGGTTTCAGTCCTTCAGTTTCTATGTACTCCTTGAATTCCTGCACATATTTTTCAGCTGCTTTGTGGTCCGAACTGGCAGCTTCACCATGCCTTATCACACTATGTATGCCACTACGCCTCTTAAATCTCTCAAACCAACCTTTGCTGGCCTTAAATTCACTCACATCATCACTAGTTGCAGGCATTTTTTTAATTAAATCCTGATGCAACTTCCTAGCCTTTTCACTTATGATCACTTGAGAGATGCTATCTCCTGCTATCTGTTTCTCATTTATCCACACCAATAAGAGTCTCTCAACATCTTCCATCACTTGCGATCTCTGTTTCGAAAACACAGTTAAACCTTTGGCAAGAACAGCTTTCTTGATTGCCTTTTTGTTGCCCACAATAGTAGCGATGGTTGATTGGGGTTTACTATACAACCTGGCCAGCTCGGAGACACGCACTCCACTTTCATACTTATCAATGATCTCTTTCTTCATCTCTATAGTAATTCTCACCCTTATTGCTGTAGGGTTGGCACTAGAAGGTTTCTTGGGGCCCATGGTCACTTATTTTGCAGATAAAATCACCAGAAACACTGTAATAATACGAAATGTTCCGATTGTATGCTTGGATGTTACCGCGGAGGCTGGCTGGTAAACAATGCCACCGGCGGAACATGTGAGGCTGGCTAAGGGCGCACATTAGACGCGTCTCGGACGAACAGCGTTGAGCGGGTTTTTTAGCGGTACGCAAGGCAAAATCTTGGCGATAAAATGTAGCGGTATGCGGATTTAACGTTATGTGATGCCAACGGTATGCGGGGGTCCACTGTATTTATATTTGTTGTTTGTATGTTAAACTATAGTTGTTCTTTAAAAAATGTATTTTTTGTGGGTCTGAAACGGATTAATTGTATTTACATTACTTCTTATGGAAAATATCGCTTTGACTTTCGGCCGTTTCGAGTTTAGGTCTAGTTTCTGGAATGGATTATGGCCAAAACTCGGGGTTCCACTATACATACAGAGCATTAAACTCCAGTATAAGCCCTCCACTTAAACTTCTCTTTGATAGCTACAACAGAACACACACTCACAATACAAGGCGCAAAGCACTCTTTGACATGAAAATTAGACACATGTGTAACATCTGGGTATTTTTACTGTATATGTTTTGCCATCCAAGAGCTTTGTCAATACAAATTCAAGGGCATAATTAGAAGACAGTAGAACTATATACAAAAGATGAGGTAATCAGTCCCTCAGCTTTGGAGTTTGTGTGCACAGCACTGTAGTTTTGAAGAAACTGGAGCACAATCAAGAAAGCTGGTGCTTATATACTGGCAAAAGGTGGTAAGGGACATGTAGCAGATGAAGACAAGCTCTCCTAGGGCAGGGAAGGTGCCAGAGCCAGAGCTTGCTACCACCTGCAGCTCACAAGACTGCCATTCCCACGAGGCCCCCCTCAGGTGGGGAAGGTGCCAGAGTTTGCTACCACCTGCAGTTCACAAGACTGCCATTCCCACAAGCCCCCCTTGGGCGGGAAAGGTGGCAGACCAGAGGCGTAGTTTCTCCCTACAAGCCCCATGAGGCCAAGGAATGGGGCTACGCATGGGGACAGTTGGTCCCAGAAGATGAGGAGGTAGTTGTACCTCCTCCCATGGCAGACATAAGTCTCAGACACTCCCAAGACAGGGAGCCAAGGCTGGGTCACCATCTGGAAAAGACCCGGGCCGGGAGAGTACTGGCGAATCAAGATGATGTCCATTGTGACTCACGCAAGAAGTAACTTGTGGCTCTGCAAGCCACAATTCAGAATAGTCATCCAGAAATCTACATTCTCTGTCAAGCTGTACTAATGAGATGTTTGTAAGTAAAGTAGTTCATACTAATAGAAATTTTATGGTTTGACGGCAGGAACTAGGATGGTGTTTCATCATATTATGAGATCTATCATTTCATCAGATAGAAGTTACTCCTGGGTAGGATGAGAGGCATCTATGCAATCTAAAATTTTACATCGGATCAAGACGTGGCTGGAGCTTACCAGAGAGATGATGGAAAGATCTATTTGACTAGGGGATGGATATTCATTTTAGAATTACCAGTAAATGGTTCTTCTACAGTGTCAAAATTCAGGACTGATGAAATGTTTTGCTTCACAAATTTCCTTTTAATATAGTTACTGCATTTATAAATGGATCCTGGAGATAAATTTAATAAGAACCAATAATAAAATTCTTTTTCTTCTTTCAACAAACTGACTGCATCCAACCGAGGCAGGGTGGCCCCCCACCCCCTAAAAAAAATTTCTCTTTTTAACTTTAGTAATGTATACAGGAGAAGGGGTTACTTGCCCCTTGCTCCCAGCATGTTAGTCGCTTCTTATGACATGCATGGCTTACAGAGGAAGAATTCTGTTCCACTTCCCCATGGAGATAAGAGGAAATAAATAAGAACAAAAACTAGTAAGAAAATAGAAGAAAACCTAGAGGTGTGTATATATATACAAGCTTGTACATGCATGTGTAGTGTGACCTAAGTGTAAGCAGAAGTAGCAAGATGTGCCTGAAACCCTGCATGTTTATTTTTTTTTTCAACAAACCAGCCGTATCCCACCAAGGCAGGGTGGCCCAAAAAGAAAAACAAAAGTTTCTCTTTTTAAATTTAGTAATTTATACAGGAGAAGGGGTTACCAGCCCCTTGTTCCTGGCACTTTAGTTGCCTCTTACAACATGCATGGCTTTCAGAGGAAGAATTCTGTTCCACTTCCCCATGGAGAGAACAGGAAATAAACAAGAACAAGAACTAGTAAGAAAATAGAAGAAAACCCAGAGGGGTGTGTACATGTATATATATGCTTGTACATGTGTGTGTAGTGTGACCTAAGTGTAAGAAGAAGTAGCAAGACATACCTGAAATCTTGCATGTTTATGAGACAGAAAAAAAGACACCAGCAATTCTACCATCATATAAAACAATTACAGGCTTCTGTTTTACACTCACTTGGTAGAACAGTAGTACCTCCCTGGGCGGTTGCTGTCTACCAACCTACTACCTAGGAATAATAAAATTACCTATCTTAAAAAATGTCATCTTTTAATTTTAAGCCTTCTTTAATTTTCAGATATGAAAGCCTTAGCATCAGGAGATGTAGTAGCCTTAGCTCACCCCTCAAGCATTTCTGTTGGCACGGGACATGGTGTATATGTAATAAACGATGATTCTCAGTCACTTAAATGTTTAAATAGTGTTCAAGAATGTATGGAGGTGTTGCAAAAGCCCTCAGAAGACATCATGCGATCAAAAGGAGCAGTTTACATAAAAGGTAAGTTTTTTTTATAATCAGATTAGATCCATGCTCATCTCAATGGGAGAAGACAAAATTGATATATAATATGATTACTGTACCTGTTTATAGCTACAAGAGCAAAGTTAAGCTTATGGTGTTTCTCCCTTAATGACATATTTCAGAAACTCTACAACAAAACTTATAAGAGTATTGTATCAAGAGTACGGTGATACCAATGTTTTCATATTCCATGATTCACCTTATCTTTCAAGGATCCATCTGCTGACATGTCCTCTCCCACATATCTAAATATTGTACAGTGGAACCTCAAAAATCGAACTTAATCCGTTTCAGGAGCTAGTTTTAAATTCGAAAAGTCTGAAATTTGAAGCAATATTTCCCATAAGAAATAATGGAAATACAATTAATCCGTTCCAGAAACCCAAAAATATTCACACAAAAAATACATTTTATAGAGATTAATTACAGTTTTACATACAACAAATACAATAGTTTTTAATTATGTATAGTAATACATATAAAATAACATTTTTACTTACCTTTATTGAAGATTGGTGATGGCATGTGTTTCTGGCGCCTCTTTAACATTTCCCTAAAATAGGACATGGTTCTGTCACTGAACTTGTTGCAAAGATGGCTTGTTTTAGCTTGCTCAGGGTGGTACTTCTGCACAAACATTTGGACATCATTCCACTTGGCACAAATCTCCTTAATCTTTGAAGAAGGCACCTCATCCACTCCCTATATTAACACCTTTCGCAACATCAGCTTCCTTGATTTGTTCTTTCTTTGACAGGATAGAACCGATGGTCGACTTGTTTTTCCCATACATCCTGGCAAGCTCAACAAGTCTCACACCACTCTCATACTTCTGTATTATTTCCTTCACATCTATGGTGTTTCTCACTTTCTTTACCACAGGGGTACCACTAGCAAGTTTCTTTGGGCCCATGGCAGCTTATTTCACAGTCCCACAAGCACTAAACACGAAATAATCGTAAAATGCGTGAATGAGAGCGCAGGTTAGTGTTCACTAAAGCATAAACAAAGCTAGACTGCTCACGGCGCCTGCGCGGGGACGCGGACAGAGCGGGCTGGCAGACAGGTCCCGTACCCGGCGGTCCGAAAATAGGGGCGCGTTCGATAATAGGGACACAGTTTGTCCGAAAAAATGGTCCTATTTTCGAAACGTTCGATATGTGATATGTTCCATTTTTGAGGTTCCACTGTACGTACATTCACTTCCTTCATATTCACACCCTCCAGTCTGATATCTAATCTTTCACTGCCTAGCTCTTTTTAACTTTCATCACCTTGCTCTTTTGTATATTTACTTAATTTCTTCTACATGCTCTACCAAATTCTTCCACTAATCTTTGCAACATTTCTTCACATTCTCCCAGATACCCTGTCATTCACTTCATTTACAGCCCCACATAAATATGTTATTTTACGATTCAATATTTCAGAGGAAGGAGGCACTTTAACAGAGAAAGTTTGGAGTGATAGTGTATTTTGGCTCAGTGGACAAGTTTATCATCGTCTCTTACAGTGGTACAGGACAAAGGCTCCCATCTCTTCAGAACTTGATGCCTATGCACATTTTCTGCCTTGCCTAGGTACACGGATGGCGTCTGCCAAGCCAACTGATTTTCAAGATTTTCGGTCTGAACTATTACCAATTCTTAAAGATTTTAGCCTCAAGGTTCTTCTTCTGAATGAGTCTGAATTTTATCATATGGGAACCATGAAAGAGTATTTGATGCATTTTAATGCTATGGAAAATTTCTGTGCAGAGTTGGGGCTCGTGAAAAATACAAGCAACTTACAAAATCCTTGCATATTAAAAGTTGCTGAGCATTTATCACCAACGTATTTTAAAAATGGCATGATTACAGAAACTCACTTCTCAGACCCAACCATTAAGATAACAGTACTTCAAAGCTCAACACAGTTTGTCATAGAAAACTGCCAAATAAATCTGTCTTTTAAAGTTCATGGTGATATTATAATGAACAATTGTGTTCTTGAAGAATGTTCTCACATTGCATTGCTCACTGATGAAGTGAACTTGTTTGGTAACCTCATGTACCACACTGTGCCCATAATGTCTGAAGGACAGTCATTATATGTCACTGTAGCTTTTGACTTGACTGCCAATATGAAGTGTGTTTCAGATAATTTATCAGGCATATATAATTATGGTTGCAGTCTTAGTGAAGTGTCTCATATTCTTGGTTATAAGACGACAGAGGTAGTGCCAAAATCCTTAGACAGTGTATCTCTTTGGGCTGCTAAAATATTCATGGGAGGGTCAACTGCTGCTGAGAGCTTCTGGCTCACACATCATGCCATAAATAAAATTAAGAATGAACAAGAGGGAGAACCACTACAGACTGATATTACAAGCTGCAAAGGCTCTCGGTTGTTTAGTATGAGGGATGTTGTCATACTGAAAGACATGGAAACACTCTTGAAAGATAGAGATCATTTGTCTTCCAGCATGAAACATATGCTCCATGAAAAATAATTTTTATATTACTAAATATCTGAGTAAAGTGTGTTCAAATATACTTTTATGCATCTGATTAATCATTGTGTTTATTCATACTGTATGTGTTTTCTTTATATCCATATGCATTTTTATTGCATGTAGATGTAATGACATCAATTTTTTTTGGCTAATATGCTAAAATAATACCCATTTTCAGTTATCCTTGCTATATAAAACTTTTTAAATACAATATTTAATGGTGCTTTAATTCAAAGTAATACATAATCTGATATTGTCAAAGGACTGCCAGTTTCTTGAAACAGTAATTAACAATGCCTAAAACTGACAGAATAGGTTTTAGTGTATAGTTCAACTTGTACTTATCTATTTGTGTTATAAGGGTTGGGTCTCAACTCCTGGAATCCCTCCCCTCTGAACCTGCTGTTTACCAGATTCACTCCTTTCTAGCCTTGTGGGCCTTATCATACTTTTTCTTAAAACTATGTATGAATCCTGTTTCCACCACTTATTCATAAAGATCATTTCACTTCAAAACCATTCTGTGACTGAAGAAATATTAACATCCCTATGAGTCATCTGTCTTCAACTTCCAGCTGTGTCACCAAACAACTATTTTTTGCCCCATCTACCCAGTTGATTCCCCAGAGTATTTTGTATGTTATCATATCTTCCTTGGATCATCTGTCCTCCAATGTCACTAGATACAATTATGCTAGCTTCTCCTTGTAGTTCATACCCCTTGCATACATCTACACTTTCTCCATAACCCGGACCCTCACCGTGTGAAGCGAGAGCTTTTGCCACCAAGCAAACTCAACATCTTAACTGATAAAACTTAAATTAGTACATATAGTATTTTATGTAAGAAGGTAAATGAAAATATTTTTATTAATTTTACTTACATATATAGGTTTTCAGGCATTATGAACTAAAATTTTGGTATTAAGCTTGCCTTTACTATCAAGAATACCTCATACATCAGATTTTGACCCTATCGTAAATGGAGAAGTGAAAACATCCTAACTGTCCTTCATGACAAGCTTTCTTAACAATCTATTTCATTATCCTACATCATATTATGTAAGAAGAAACAATTACTTTTAACTCTTTGACTGTTTCGGACGTATACATACGTCTTATGAGCCAGCGTTTCGGACGTATATATACTCAATAATTCTAGCGGCTTCAAATCAAGCAGGAGAAAGCTGGTAGGCCCACATGTGAGAGAATGGGTCTGTGTGCACTGTATAAAAAAAAATCTTGCAGCACGCAGTGCACAATGAGAGAAAAAAAAAAACTCCAACCGTGTTTTTGGATTAAAATGCTGACTTTGCGGTGTATTTTCCTATAGTAATTATGGTTGTATTCTTGTTTTCTTGGTCTCATTTGACAGAATGGAAAACATATTACAGAAATAGAGATGATTTTGATTAGTTTCACGATGGAAACGACCTTGAAATTGAGCTCAAAGTAGCAGAAATGTTAAATTTTTACCAATGTTCAAGAGTAAGCAAATCACACCACACGTCCAATACACGTCAACTGGGGAGTCTAATGTTCTTTCACTAGTGCACTGATATTATTTATACCATTTTTACAATAATGCAGTAGTCCGCATAACAGTAAATCTTCTATTTTTTGTGAATAAAAAATCAAAATAGAAAGCAAAAGTAATACAAGAGGGGCCTAGAGACATGACTAATGAACAGAGGATATGTTATTTTAGTGCCAAGAATGTCTGCATTGTTTATTCTGGACCCTATTTTGAAATTGGCATCATTTTTAATTTGAGTGAAATTGGCCAAATTGCCAATTTCTGACCACTTTACTGGGTAGTTGAAATTGGTAAATGGTCAGTTTCTTGTACTCAATTGATAGAAAAAGAATGGAGTCTAAATAAATAGCTTTGAGTTTGGTTGACTGGAACAATGGAATTAGCCGAAAATAGGACTCAAAGTCGGCGAAATCCCCGATGCATATATATCGCCGAGATCACTAACTTCGTGGGAGTGTAATTCCCTAAGTTTTTCATTAAATTTCATACTTTTGGTGTCATTACCATCGGGAAAAAATTCTCTATCATTTCATAAGATTTTTTTTTTTTTTTTTTTTTTCAAAAAATTGTTTGACACCAGGAAGACACTTCAGGATTTGGGGTTGCAACAGTCAAAGGGTTAATTAACTTGACTTAAGTTATTATACCTGCATAATATATTCAGCATTTTATTAATTATGCTCATGTTATTTTTTTATTTACTGATAAAATTTGTAGTCTTTGAGTGTTTTTGTTTGACATTACAGTGATTACTGATAATGCGTATTGTATAGTATATAAATTATTCATTACATAATTTTTTTTTTTTAACATGTTGGCTGTTTCCCACCGAGGCAGGGTGATCCAAAAAAAAGAAAGAAACACTTTCACCATCATTCACACATGATCACTGTCTTTGCAGAGGTGCAGTGTTTTTTCAACTTCTACTGGTTGCATTATTCCATATTTATCTCTACTTCCTACCCAGTGGTTCCGTATCCGCTGTTAAAAGTTAACGGTAGTACATATTTATATTTTGACCTACAGTATGTACTGTAGAATATTTATAAATCTGAATAGATAATGAGTTTTCTACTACTGTTTCCACTGACTATATGGAATATATATTTCTGCCATTCTAAGTTTAAAATATTTTTTTTTTTTTTTTTTTTTCAACAAGTCGGCCGTCTCCCACCGAGGCAGGGTGACCCAAAAAAGAAAGAAAATCCCCAAAAAGAAAATGCTTTCATCATCATTCAACACTTTCACCACACTCGCACATTATCACTGTTTTTGCAGAGGTGCTCAGAATACAACAGTTTAGAAGCATACACATATAAAGATACACAACATATCCCTCCAAACTGCCAATATCCCAAACCCCTCCTTTAAAGTGCAGGCATTGTACTTCCCATTTCCAGGACTCAAGTCCGACTATATGAAAATAACCGGTTTCCCTGAATCCCTTCACTAAATATTACCCTGCTCACACTCCAACAGATCGTCAGGTCCCAAGTATCATTCGTCTCCATTCACTCCTATCTAACACGCTCACGCACGCTTGCTGGAAGTCCAAGCCCCTTGCCCACAAAACCTCCTTTACCCCCTCTCTCCAACCCTTTCGAGGACGACCCCTACCCCGCCTTCCTTCCCCTATAGATTTGTATGCTTTCCATGTCATTCTACTTTGATCCATTCTCTCTAAATGACCAAACCACCTCAACAACCCCTCTTCTGCCCTCTGACTAATACTTTTATTAACTCCACGCCTTTTCCTAATTTCCACACTCCGAATTTTCTGCATAATATTTACACCACACATTGCCCTTAAACAGGACATCTCCACTGCCTCCAACCATCTCCTCACTGCTGCATTTACCACCCAAGCTTCACACCCATATAAGAGTGTTGGTACTACTATACTTTCATACATTCCCTTCTTTGCCTCCATAGATAACATTTTTTGACTCCACATATACCTCAATGCACCACTCACCTTTTTTCCCTCATCAATTCTATGATTAACCTCATCCTTCATAAATCCATCCGCCGACACGTCAACTCCCAAGTATCTGAAAACATTCACTTCTTCCATACTCCTCCCTAATTTGATATCCAATTTTTCTTTATCTAAATCATTTGACACCCTCATCACCTTACTCTTTTCTATGTTCACTTTCAACTTTCTACCTTTACACACATTCCCAAACTCATCCACTAACCTTTGCAATTTTTCTTTAGAATCTCCCATAAGCACAGTATCATCAGCAAAAAGTAACTGTGTCAATTCCCATTTTGAATTTGATTCCCCAAAATTTAATCCCACCCCTCCCGAACACCCTAGCATTTACTTCCTTTACAACCCCATCTATAAATATATTAAACAACCATGGTGACATTACACATCCCTGTCTAAGACCTACTTTTACCGGGAAGTAGTCTCTCTCTCTTCTACACACCCTAACCTGAGCCTCACTATCCTCATAAAAACTCTTTACAGCATTTAATAACTTACCACCTATTCCATATACTTGCAACATCTGCCACATTGCTCCTCTATCCACTCTATCATATGCCTTTTCTAAATCCATAAATGCAATTAAAACTTCCCTACCTTTATCTAAATACTGTTCACATATATGCTTCAATGTAAACACTTGATCTACACATCCCCTACCCACTCTGAAACCTCCTTGCTCATCCGCAATCCTACATTCTGTCTTACCTCTAATTCTTTCAATTGTAACCCTACCGTACACTTTTCCTGGTATACTCAGTAAACTTATTCCTCTATAATTTTTACAGTCTCTTTTGTCCCCTTTCCCTTTATATAAAGGGACTATACATGCTCTCCGTCAATCCCTAGGTACCTTCCCCTCTTTCATACATTTATTAAACAAAAGTATCAACCACTCCAACACTATATCCCCCCCTGCTTTTAACATTTCTGTCATGATCCCATCAGTTCCAGCTGCTTTACCCCCTTTCATTTTACGTAATGCCTCATGTACCTCCCCCACACTTACATTCTGCTCTTCTTCACTCCTAAAAGATGGTATACCTCCCTGGCCAGTGCATGAAATTACTGCCTCTGTTTCTTCCTTAACATTTAAAAGTTCCTCAAAATATTCTCGCCATCTACCTAATACTTCCATCTCCCCATCTTCTAACTCCCCTACTCTGTTTTTAACTGACAAATCCATACTTTCCCTAGGCTTTCTTAACTTGTTTAACTCTCCAAAATTTATTTTTTTTATTTGTACAAATATTTATTAATGTGAATGATTTTCTACAAGAACTGCAAGTATTTTAGGTAAATGAGAGAAATGTAATAAAGTAGGATCTCCATGTCCACTGATTCAGTATCTGCAGATTCAGTTATACACAGTTTACTGTGGCCTATAAATACCTCTTAATTTTGCATAATAATGGCCCCAAAGCCCAAAAGTAGAAAAACTGGCAGTACTGCAAAGCCTAAGAGAAGCCGTGAAGTGCTTCCCCTCAGTGAAAAAGTGATAATTCTCCACTTATTGTGCATAATTTAACATATAAAATTTATAATAAGTATGTATACGATTTATACATAGGGTGTGCTACCATTCGCAGCTTCAGTACCCATGGCAGGTCCTTGGAACGTATCCTCCCATGGATATGGGGGTCACACTGTACAGTGGTCCCCCGCATAACGATCACCTCCGAATGCGACCAATTATGTAAGTGTATTTATGTAAGTGCGTTTGTACATGTATGTTTGGGGGTCTGAAATGGACTAATCTACTTCACAATATTCCTTATGGGAACAAATTCGGTCAGTATTGGCACCTGAACATACTTCTGGAGTGAAAAAATATCGTTAACCGGGGGTCCACTGTATATATAGTAGAAACCCATATCCACTGATGTAGTATTCACGGTTTCAGTTATCCACGGTTTACTGTGGCCCACAAATACCTCTTAATTTTGCATAGTAATGGCCTCAAAGCCCAAAAGTAGAAAAGCTGGCGGTTCTTCAGAGAAGCCGTGAAGTGCTTCCCATTACTGAAAAAGTGATAATTCTCCACTTACTATGCATAATTTATAAATTAAACTTTATAATATGTATGTATTGGACTTATATGTAAAGTTTGCTACTATCTATGGTTTCAGTATCCATGGCAGGTCCTTGGAACATATCCTTCATGGATACGGGGGTCCTACTGTAGAATTTTATCTTTTGCCAGCTGCTGATGTCTATGATCCCTCCATGTATTTAACAGCAGAGAGGAGTTGACCAGTGATTGTCACATCTCCGTACAAATGAGGAAGTTTACAATAGCAATGGAGTGTTTTTAAATCACTGTACATCATGAGCCCTCTCAGGTCATAGAACATAACTCCAAAACCAAATATGTAATCTGCCATAATCCCTTTCTCCCTGCCTCAAGTCAGATGCTTTGCTTTTATGGTAGTCTGCATATTTTTTAACAGTAGCAGTGGTATTGTCTATTATTACATATATAGTGATCTGTGCGATCATAATTTTTTTTTTTTTTTTTTTTTTAATTAATTTCTTTACTGGAGCAACTATAACTTGGCATTTTTCAAATGATGCAAGGTATGAGGGGGCAGTATTGCTTCTAAGAAAGACTATGAATTAAGTTCATTCTGTCTAATTGTTTCTAGAAATAACCAAACTGCCACTACAAAAGTGACAGAATTATCATATTAGAGACCCTGGTTTTGAAACATCAAGTATAATATATTCTCTATAAAGAGAAAAGCAAGATTTATGATACAACATTAAAAATAAATCCCTTAACCCGTAAATGGTCCAAGCAGATATACATTCACATGCGTAGTGCTCCAAAAGTAGATCTACATTTTTTTTTTTACATATTTTCAAATATAACAAAAAAAAAAGTAGATCCAAGTTTTTTACACGTTTTCAAATGTACAAAAAAAAAAATCTACTTTTTTTACGTACTTTCAAATGTTGAAAAAATATATATATATGTTTGGACCATTTAAGGGTTAAGAACAAGAGATTTCTGCAGATTTCAAAAATACAACTAGCAGATAGAAATAAGATGGCAGCGGCACAACCTAATTCTTTCTTCTCATTTCTTTAAATGAAAAAAGACATAATACTGTGGTAACAAAATTAAAAAGTATGAAAGAGATAGAACAAATGCAACAAGAAAAGATCTTTTATAAATATCTGTATACAGTAGTGTGTATATAAAACAGGAAAACAAGGAGCCTATGGACGTTAGTTATCGTAAGTGGCCAGACAACTCTACTGATTGTTTTGAATATATTCAAATTTTAATCATACTACCCCACATAGGATGAGTCCTTGTTTCCTGGCTTGCACTTATCATAACTGGAAAAATAATACTAACGAGTTTATACTGTAATTAAAAATAATTACTAAAAAAATACATCTGAACTTAGCAGTATTAATTAAACTTATGAGCACTGCATTCAGCTTAACAACTCAGGTTAAGATGCCTGATGCAGGGATGAAAATGAGTTGAGGAAAATAAATATTGATTGTGATTTACGAACATGCCGGTAAATAATCATTCTGTTGGGAATATATATAATGTTCATTACAGTACTGAACATGTGAAATAACTAAGTATGATTCATCAAAAAACTACAGGACTTAGGCACCAAGAGATGGATGAAGCCAGTCTAAAATGATCAAAGTAATATCAGATAAGTATGCATACAATTAAAGACTACCTTGTATTTTTCAGAAAATCCCTAGATCAAGGAAAAGTGTTTCAACACTGGAAAATCTGATATCACACCAATGATTAATAATGCTTGCTAAAAAGCAGCAGTAAAGTACTGCAGTATCCAACTGTCTCTGCCTCTTGTTTATGGTACTGTCCTGTATCATACATGAACCTCTTACAGCATTCAATAAACAGTGAAATACTATCCCAGAAAATTCTGACATGTGGATCCACTTAATAAATGTTAGAATGGATAAAATAGTAACTGCAGGACATGAAACAATAAGTGGCTGAAAATGAAGAATTTGATTGAAATAAAATTTGAGTGGGATGTGAGACTAAAAGGTGTAATCTACTATCATTGTTATACTGTATATCTACACGATGAAAATAACTCATCCCATGAAAATCTGTGAAGGATACTAAAATTTAGAGAAAGGTAGCAAGTGAAGGACACTGCTCTTGAGCAAGATAACCTACATTAGCTTTCTGAATAATTAAATAGTAGTAAGTGATATTAATACAGTACAACAATATGCAGGGTACATACTGTACCAGTATAGTTATGATGGTAACACTGTTTAGCTATCTGCTAAACAGAGAAAACCTTGGAACAACAGTCCACCAATCTTTGTAAATACTGTAGCACTAGTAGGAGCAGACAAAGACCCAACTGAACTCAATACATCATGAAAAACCTCCATTAAAAATGAATACATGCATGCTGACCACACAAGCAGAAAGGCATAGAAAATTTTCTATGGTGGTTAATGAAAATGATCCTAGAACTAAATTATTTAAATTACCAGGGTAAACTGAGGTCTACAGGCCTAATAACTCTACAAATAAGGAACTGTAAGTCAAATCTCATAGAGTCTTTTAAGATAATAAATTAGTTTAATAATATAAACCTTGATCACTTTTAAAAATGCCTGTTGTAATAGAAGAGGCCACATCTAAAACTTTGGACGGTATATTAATGAAAATAATAAACTTGTAGTTCTTCTCACAGGTTCTTTCTCTCTGCTGCTCATAAAGTTGCATTTCAGTATCTCAAACTCTCCTATTTATTACCGAATCTCACTAAAATGTGATAAACATTATTTAAGACAAAAATTTTATATCTATATTCGAGGACATAGTTAAGATATTTCACACCAAGAAATGTTCAACAGTAACCAAAGCAAATAAATTTAAAAACCAGTGCTAATAACCCTGGCAGTTATAGTACCTTAAAAAAAAAAAAATCATACATGACAGAACTGGCACACTTGTAACTTTTCTCTCTCCATGCAGTGCCTTATTCTGAGACCAGCTATAATTACTTCATATCATTTAACCCTTAAAATGTCCAAACGTAGATCTACGTTGACGTGCATAGTGCTCCGAACGTAGATCTACGTCCAATTTTACATGCTTTCAAATGGAGAAAATAAAGGTCGGAGCGCTACGCATGTCAACGTAGATCTACGTTTCGGCAGTTTAAGGGTTAATTTATGATTATTTCATTTCATTTTGTTTCATTTTATTGCAACTATTTATTGTTGAGTAATTGGACAGGAAATTTGTAATTTTATGAAAGTGGATGGTAAGCTGGGTCATATATTGAGGTAATTTTTTTGTTCTACTGAACACTGGTTCATTCATTTCTCTATGTCATGTTCGGGAATTGCAAAAAAGAGTGAAGTACAGTAATTTAAAAAAAATAAAACTGGACATAATTGTTACAAAATTAGATGACATTTTGTTTTATTCATTTTGAAAAGCTTCTGGTTGTGCAGAGCATTTTGGGCAGATGAAAACTAGGTTGGTAGACAGCAACCACCCAGGAGATACTACCATACTACCAAATGAGTGTGAAACATAAGCCTGTAATTGTTTTGCATGATGGTAGGATTGCTGGTCTCTCTTTCTGTCTCATAAACATGCAAGGTTGCAGGTATGTCTTGCTACTTCTACTTACACTTAGGTCACACTACATGTGCATGTACAAGCATATGTATATACTAACCCCTCTGGGTTTTCTTCTATTTTCTTCTTAGTTCTTGTTCTTGTTTATTTCTGCTTATCTCCATGGGAAAGTAGAACAGAATTCTTCCTCCGTAAGTTATGCATGTCATATGAGGCGACTAAATGCTGGGAGCAATGGGCTAGTAACCATTTCTCCAGTATAAATTATTAACAACAAGGCAAAGAAAAACTTCATAAAATTGGGATGTTTGAATGTGTGTGGATGTAGTGTGGATGATAAGAAAGTGATGATTACTAATGTTATGAATGAAAAAAAGATGGATGTCCTAGCCCTAAGCAAAACAAAGCTGATGGGGTAGGTAAGTTTCAGTGCAGAGAAATAAATGGGATTAAGTCAGGAGTATCTGAGAGCTAAGGAAGGGGTAGCAATAATGTTGAAGGATCAGTTATGGAGAGAGGAGGGAATATAAATGTATAAATTTAGGGATTATGTGGATTAAAATAAGGGTTGGATGTGAAAAGTGGGTTATAATAAGTGTGTATGCACCTGGAAAAGAGAGGAGTGTAGAGGAGAGAGAGAGAGAGAGAGAGAGAGATTTTGGGAGATGTTAAGCAAGTGTGTAGGAACTTTTTAGCCAAGTGAGAGAGTAATTATGGTAGGGGACCTAAATGCTAAAGTAGGAGAAGCATTTAGAGAGGGTGTGGTAGGTAAGTTTGAGGTGCCAGGTGTAAATGATAATGGGGAGCATTTGATTAAACTTTGTATAGAAAGGAGTTTGGTTATAGGTAACACGGGTTACCTATAACCCGTGTTATAGGTAACCCGTGTTATTTCCGAGTTATTTCTTGGGTAGCTTTAGGTAGAGATCGTTTTGATAAGGACCTGCTTTGCATGGGCCAGTAGGCCTTCTGCAGTGTATCTCCATTCTTATGTTCTTATGTTAACAGTGTAGTAAGTTAAGCAATTAAGCAATAGAAAAAGACCGACATGAAATTGACTCCTCCAGTGTTGTTGGAGGTGTATGGGGCTACTGACAATATACACCGCCCTGCATATCTTACACCACCATAAACCAATTTCAGCACCTCCTCCAAGGTAAGTGTAAATATTTCTTATTTATAAAGTGTAAATATTTCTTGTTTATAAATTAAAGTGTAAATACAGTGGTACCTCGAGTTACTAACTTAATTCGTTCCAGAAGGATGTTCGAGTGCTGATACCGAACGAATTTGTTCCCATAAGGAATAATGTAAATTAGATCAGTCCGTTTCAGACCCCCAAAAATACATGTACAAAAGCACTTACAAAAATACACTTACATAATTATTCGAGTTGGGAGCTGGTTGAAACTTGAGGTACCACTGTATTTCTTATTTATAAATTACAGTGGACCCTCGGCTAATGATATTAATCTGTTCCTGAGAGCTCATCATTAGACGAAATTATCGTTAGCTGAATTAATTTTCCCGATAAGAAATAATGGAAATCAAATTAATCCGTTCCTGACAACCCAAAGTATGAAAAAAAAAGATTTTTACCACATGAAATACTATACATTTTCATACACATAAAAAGAAGAAAACATGCACAATTACTACTGTACTAAATAAAGAATAAATGACACTTACCTTTATTGAAGTTCTGGTGATGATTGATGGGATGGGAGGAGGGGAGATGGTGGAAGTTGTTATTGTTTGGTAAGGGAATCCCCTTCCATGAGGTCTTGACGTACCAAGTCCTCTTCTGGGGTTACTTCCCTTCTTCTTTTAATGCCACTAGGACTAGCTTAAGAGTCACTGGACCTCTGTCGCACAACAAATCTGTCCATAGAGCTCTGTACCTCACGTTCCTTTAAGATTTGCCTAAAATGGGCCACAACATTGTTGTTGTAATAGTCACCAGCACGGCTTGCAATAGCTGTGTCAGGGTGATTTTCATCCATAAAGGTTTGGACTTGAACCCACTTTGCACATATTTCCTTAATCTTTGAAGTAGGCAACTTTTTCAATTTCTCTCTCCCCTCCTCTGATGCAGTTTCCTCAGGTCTGGCCTCTTGCAGCTCATCAGTGGTTAGTTCTTCATTGTCCTCCTCCACCAACTCTTCCACAACCTTCCCACTAACCTCCAACCCCAAGGACTTCCCCAATGCCACAATTGATTCCACAACTGGCACAGGCTTCTCAGGGTTAGCCCCAAACCCTTCAAAATCCCTCTCTTCTACACATTCTGGCTACAATTTCCTCCAAGCAGAGTTCAAGGTCCTCTTAGTCACTCCCTCCCAAGCTTTACCTATAAGATTTACACAACTGAGGATACTAAAGTGATCTTTCCAAAACTCTCTTAGGGTCAATCGAGTGTCTGAGGTCACTTCCAAGCACTTTTGAAACATAGCTTTTGTGTACAGTTTTTTGAAGTTTGAAATGACCTGCTGGTCCATGGGCTGCAGGAGAGGAATGGTATAAGGAAACAAAAACTTGACCTTGATGAAGCTCATGTCCCCAGAAATTCGCTCTGCCAATTCTGAAGGATGACCAGGAGCATTGTCTAATACCAGGAGGCACTTAAGGTCCAATTTACTTTCCAGGAGGTAATTTTTCACAATGGGGGCAAACACATGGTGAAACCAGTCATAGAAAAAGTCCCTAGTGACCCATGCCTTACTGTCTGCCCTCCACATCACACACAAATTAGCCTTGAGGACATTGTTTTTCCTGAATACTCTGGGAGTTTCAGTGTGATACACCAATAAAGGCTTCAGTTTGCTATCACCACTAGCATTACCAAAGAAAAAAAAGAGTAAGCCTGTATTTCATAGGCTTATGTCCTGGGAGTGCCTTTTCCTCCTGAGTAATGTAGGTCCTGTTTGGCATTTTCTTCCAAAACAGGCCTGTTTTGTCACAATTAAACACTTGTTCAGGTTTCAATCCTTCAGCCTCTATGTACTCCTTGAATTCCTGCACATATTTTTCAACCACTTTTTGGTCTGAACTGGCAGCCTCACCACGCTTTATCATGCTATATATGCCACTATGATTCTTAAGTCTCTCAAACCAACTTTTGCTGGCCTTAAATTCACTCGCATCACCACTAGTTGCAGGCATTTTTCAAATGAACCCTTTCAGGGTTTCTGATGTACTAGTACTGCTTAAGCACCAGGGTTATTGACGTACGTGTACGCCTAAATTCTAGCGCCTTCAAATCATGAGAAATTTTTTTTTTTTTTCCAAAACATTTTCGACCCTGAGAACAATTTTAGGGGAGGGCCTCTCGACTCTGAAAGGGTTAAATCATCATGTAACTTCCTAACCTTTTCACATATGATTGCTTGAGAGATGCTATCTCCTGATATCTGTTTTTCATTTATCCACACCTTCAAGTACTTGCCATCTCTGTTTCGAAAACATACTTGCCCCTTTTGCAAGAACAGCTTCCTTGACTGCTGTTTTGTTGGCCAAGATAGTAGCGATGGTTGATTGGGGTTTGGTATACAACCTGGCCAGCTCCGAGACACGCACTCCACTTTCATACTTTGCAATTATCTCTTTCTTCATTTCCATACTAATTCTCACCTAATTGGCACTAGAAGCTTTCTTGGGGCCCACGGTGGCTTATTTTGCAGTTACAACCACTAAAAACACTGTGATAATATGAAATGTACCGAATGGATGCGTAGATGCGACCGCATTAACTGGCTTGTAAACAGTGGCACACATGGGGCAGCTGAGGCTCACTCAGGCCACATGTGGATGCGTACCGGACGAATCATGTTGGGCGAATTTTTTATCATTAGCCAGGCCAAAATTTTTACGCTCAAATGCTTCATTGGGCAGATTTAACGTTATGCTATGCATTCGTTAGCTGAGGGTCCACTGTACATACACTGTTTCAGTGTGAATAGTGGTGGTGGCCTCTGCTGCCACCACCATCACCACTATATGTACAGCTTATGCTGTCAGTGGCCTTTATAAACCCAACACCACCACCACTACATAATGACACATTTTATTCATTCTAGAGTATATATATCATGTTTCTGTGTTATTAACCCTTTCAGGGTTTCGACCGTACTAGTATGGCTTACGTACCAGTGTTTCTGACGTACTAGTACGCCTAAATTCTAGCGCCCTCAAATCTAGTGAGAGAAAGCTGGTAGGCCTACATATGAAAGAATGTGTCTATGTGGTCAATGTGCATGGTATAAAAAAAAAAATCCTGCAGCACACAATGCGTAATGAGAAAAAAAAAATGACCGTGTTTTTAGATTAAAACAGCGACTTTGCACTGTATTTTCGTATGGTATTCATTGTTGTATTTTAGTTTTCCTGGTCTCATTTTATAGAATGGAAGATATATTACAGGAATTGAGATGATTTTGACTGGTTTTACAAAGATAAGTACCTTGAAATTGAGCTCAAAGTAGCAGAAATGTTCAATTTTTACCAAAGTTCAAAAGTAAACAAATCATGCTGTGTTCAATACACGTCAACTGGTGAGTCTAATATTCTTTCAGAAATGCGCTGATATTATTTATACCATTTCTACACTAATGCAGTAGTCTGCATAACAGTAAATCTTCTATTTTTTTGTGAGAATAAAAATTCAAAGTGAAAAGCAAAAGAATGTAAGAGGGGTGTGGGGACGTGGCTAATGAACAGAGAAAATGTTATTTTAGTGACAGGAGTGTCTTTCTTGTTTATTCTGGACCCTATTCGGAAATTGGCATCTTTTGAAATTTGTGTGAAATTGGCAAAATTGCTAAATTC